TCAGAATTTCAGAATTTCAGAGTTTTAGAATTTCAGAATTTCAGAATTTCAGAATTTCAGAATTTCAGAGTTTCAGAATTTCAGAATTTCAGAATTTCAGAATTTCAGAATTTAAAAATTTTAGAACTTCAAAATCTCAGAATTTCAGAATTTCAAATTTTCAGAATTTCAGAATTTCAGAATTTCAGAGTTTTAGAATTTCAGAATTTCAGAATTTCAGAATTTCAGAATTTCAGAGTTTCAGAATTTCAGAATTTCAGAATTTCAGAATTTCAGAATTTAAAAATTTTAGAACTTCAAAATCTCAGAATTTCAGAATTTCAAATTTTCAGAATTTCAGAATTTCAGAAAAACTCATAAAAATTCGGAATTTCGGAATTTCAGGAACTTAGAAACTCAGGGTTCTGAAAAGTCAGAATTTCAGATTTCAGGTTTCAGATTTCAGATTTTATATTTCAGATTTCAGATTTCAGGTTTCAGATTTCAGATTTTATATTTCAGATTTCAGATTTCAGATTTCAGATTTCAGATTTCAGATTTCAGATTTCAGATTTCAGATTTCAGATTTCAGATTTCAGATTTCAGATTTCAGATTTCAGATTTCAGATTTCAGATTTCAGATTTCAGATCAGATTTCAGATTTCGGAGAGGAGAATGTCGAAGCATCCTTTTATCTTTCTCTGAAAATGTATGGGTTTGTCTTGATAATTGATCCAAAATGGTACTTTAGAATTTCAGAATTTCAGAATTTTAGAATTTCAGAATTTCAGAATTTCAGAATTTCAGAATTTCAGAGTTTCAGAATTTTAGAATTTCAGAATTTCAGAATTTCAGAATTTAAAAATTTTAGAATTTCAGAATTTTAGAACTTCAAAATCTCAGAATTTCAGAATTTCAAAATTTCAGAATTTCAGAATTTCAGAATTTTAGAATTTCAGAATTTTAGAACTTCAAAATTTCAGAATTTCAGAACTTCAAAATTTTAGAACTTCAAAATCTCAGAATTTCAGAATTTCAGAATTTTAGAATTTCAGAATTTCAGAATTTTAGAATTTCAGAATTTCAGAATTTCAGAATTTCAGAATTTCAGAGTTTCAGAATTTCAGAATTTCAGAATTTCAGAATTTAAAAATTTTAGAATTTTAGAACTTCAAAATTTGAGAATTTGAGAATTTTAGAATTTCAGAATTTCAGAATTTCAGAATTTCAGAATTTAAAAATTTTAGAATTTTAGAACTTCAAAATTTGAGAATTTGAGAATTTCAGAATTTTAGAACTTCAAAATCTCAGAATTTCAGAATTTCAGAATTTTAGAATTTCAGAATTTCAGAATTTTAGAATTTCAGAATTTCAGAATTTCAGATTTTCAGAATTTCAGATTTCAGGGTTTCAGAATTTCAGAATTTCAGAATTTTAGAATTTCAGAATTTCAGAATTTCAGATTTTCAGAATTTCAGATTTCAGGATTTCAGAATTTCAGAAAAACTCATAAAAATTCGGAATTTCGGAATTTCAGGAACTTAGAAACTCAGGGTTCTGAAAAGTCAGAATTTCAGATTTCAGGTTTCAGATTTCAGATTTTATATTTCAGATTTCAGATTTCAGGTTTCAGATTTCAGATTTTATATTTCAGATTTCAGATTTCAGATTTCAGATTTCAGATTTCAGATTTCAGATTTCAGATTTCAGATTTCAGATTTCAGATTTCAGATTTCAGATTTCAGATTTCAGATTTCAGATTTCAGATTTCAGATTTCAGATTTCAGATTTCAGATTTCAGATTTCAGATCAGATTTCAGATTTCGGAGAGGAGAATGTCGAAGCATCCTTTTATCTTTCTCTGAAAATGTATGGGTTTGTCTTGATAATTGATCCAAAATGGTACTTTAGAATTTCAGAATTTCAGAATTTTAGAATTTCAGAATTTCAGAATTTCAGAATTTCAGAATTTCAGAGTTTCAGAATTTCAGAATTTCAGAATTTCAGAATTTCAGAATTTAAAAATTTTAGAATTTCAGAATTTCAGAATTTTAGAACTTCAAAATCTCAGAACTTCAGAATTTCAGAATTTCAGAATTTTAGAATTTTAGAATTTTAGAACTTCAG